TCTAATCTTCACAAAATATTGTATAAAATTTAACAGCACAAGTAAATGAGTTAATGAATACTTTTAGTAGGGAAAAGTAAATGGAATTTATTTATTACTCAATTTTATTTATGTTCTTCATATCTATCACATTTTGTATATTCTGTTTGGTGGGTGAAACAGTTGTGAGACTACCACTAATGCTAAAAAAATTGATAGTATACTAACCAGGCTTGACATTGCTTAATGTCAGTGATTGTATAGGAACTGGTGTTTCAAGTGATATGGCCGTGTGGTTAAAACATTCTGTTAGAATACTTCATGTATTTGAATCTCACTATAGTTGATTTGTCAGCCTGTCGAGATGATCCCAGACTATGGCACCAATGGAAAGTGCCTGAAAACCATATTGTGGCTGATACAAGCCTTGTGAGTGAAATTGGGTTGACAAAACTGTTCAGAAGCTATTGATCATTGCATTAGCACAAAATCAAAGGTCATTGTAACCTAGGGTTTGAGTGTACTAATCTTGTTCAGTTACTGATCATGATAGATTATACATTCTCTTCCAGAAAACTGTAACTAGGGTCTGCTCAGCATAGTTGCAGAATTAACCACCAGTTGGCTCTGTGGGTATTGCAGAAGCACAAATGTGTCAGAACAGTTACCTATTACAGGATTTAGCTACCCCCCGCTAGTAGATGACATTCTCTAGACTGAGGACTGCTTCTTACACTATATATATATATATGTGTGGATACATTATTTTATCTGTGCGTATTAATGTGTTATTAATAACATGAATAATGAACCTTTTCTTTATAAAAACCTCTTACTGAATTTTGTTTCCTTGAAATTTTTTATAATAGAAGTTTTGAAATTCATGCAGTTTCTTTTAAAAGTTTTATAAAAGCATTTGTAAATAATTCATACAATTATTATTTTAATCTCATCAGAATGTAGGTGATCATGACTCTCCACAGATTCCTTATTATCTGTAAATTGTCATAGCATCTTGGGAAAGATAGTAGAGTGGTTGCCTTCTCCATAAATTTCACTTCAAAGTTGTCTTTTCCCCTTCATGATGTAGACAATTATGGCTCTCCACAGATTCCTTTACTTTTTATCTGTAAATTGCCATGACATCTTGGGAAAGATAGTAGAGTTGCCTTTGTGGTTCTGAATTCAGAGTCATCATCTACTAAGACTGGCTATTGTCCAAAGTTAGAAAACCTATTTTAACCAATAAATGATATGGATTCATGCCATTCCCAAACACATTTGTGTGAGAGTAAACAGACTAGCTCAGAATTTGAACTTGGTTTGCTGATTCCATTTCCACACCAATGTGTATTATACTACCTACACAACTAATAACAATATCAAAACTGTTTCTGACATATTTAAATATGATCTCTGACATTTTAGCCAGTTTTTCAAAATTATATAAACTCAAACAAGTTTTTCAAGAAACTGAATTACAATAATTAGATTCCCATTCAAGCAAAATAATATATTTATTCAGTTCTTGATGTTGTTTTGTAATTTTCATAATGAGATATTATGTTCAGATGACATATTTCATCTGATATCCAGGAACCAATTTGGTTATTTTTTGTTCACTATCATTCAACAATATTCCATAAGGTATAAGCCAAAGAAGTAATGTTATTGCCTCTTCCATATCTCCACATTGTTCTTTGTCTATCAGACCAAATCTTCTGCAATAAAATATTAAATATATGATAGATAATTTTGATTTGAATAGATTTATTATTACTCTTTTGTATACTGTCAACTGTCAAATCTGTTGATTGCATTTGCTCTCACTTGATTGTCTTTTTCAATTTTTCTAATGCTTGAATAACATATTTTGTCAGATGTCCAGAATTCAATTTGATTATTGTTTTTTCACTATTATTCAACAATATACCTATTCCTTGAGATATAAGCATATCCCTGTTGGCAACAGCTGTATAGTATTAGTAGATTTTTGCTGGTGTATTTTAAAATACATGAATGTACAGATGAAATGTTTGCCAGTTCAAAATGAGAATTGATGATGAGTTTGAATTCCAGTTGAGTTCATTTTATTCACTTTTACACAAATACCCTTGGTGAAAGTATGAATCCACATCTTTTCCCCCACTCCATACCAGTTATGGGTTAAATACCAGAGCAGACTGGACTCAAACGATAATTGGCAAGCAGTCTAGAAGTCTGATTTTAAAATTGTATGTGACCCTGGTGAAGCATATGCTTGAACTATAACTAAGGTCCACTCAACATGTTCTTATTCAGGACTGTTTGTAAAAACAGTATTTTCTAATGTCTTCTTGATTTTTAAGAATATCATCTTAAAAGATTGTTTTAAAAAAATCTTCTGATACAATTGATATATTTAAAATGTTATTTTTGATTAAAACATCAATATCTTTTTTTAAAATATTTACAATTTTAAATAAAAGTTTATTTCGCTATATGGATGTAGATGTACTTAATGAAAACATGTGATTATCCTAAATTTCCAAGAACTTCATGAAAAATGTCTATTCTTTTGAAAACTTTCTCCCCTTGCCATTATTTTTCAATGCTTGTTTTAATTACAGAGAAAATAATTATTATCTATAGTTAAGTAAATATTAGTTCTGGGAATTATATTCCAACATTGTTGAAAGTTTATAATTATTTGGTTACTGAAACAAGGAATGTGTTATTTACGCTAAGGATCATATCAGAAAGAGCAATACAAATGCAAAAGGACGTATACCTATGTTTTATAGATTACACAAAAGTGTTTGATTGTTGCGGCTGGTATATTTGCTTGGAAACAGATATCGAATGATGGAAGACAACAACAAACAAAACAAAGACTTGAGTTAAAATAATATATTGCCAAGTTTATTTTTGTTAAAGAAAAATACATAAACAAAAATAATAGTATTATTTTCCTCACCTGCGACTTTGTCCATAGACAGAGGTCACAACCTTTGCCCAAAGATGCAACGGAGAACATGGACCGCAGAAGGCATGTTTTTTGTTGCTTTTGAGGCCTTTTTATATTCTGAACCAGTCTTACAACAAGGCTGGTTAGGTTTTTTTCTTCAAGTTGTTTTTAATGCAGGATTTCCGACAGGATACGACATGATAAACAACAAACAACTGTTGGAACTGCTACTTAGGCTTGTTTTATTTGGAAAAGACAATGGAATATTCCAGAACTTATACTGGGAGCAAACTGTCTGCATATGGATAGAAAATGAATTCAGTAAATATGCAAAAAATAGGGTGTAAGACAAGGAGGTACCTTCTCACCAGACTTATACATCTTTTACAGAAGTTGAGAGAATTAGAAGTCCTATTTGCAGCCACAATCTTAACAACAGAAGATAATACAGTGTTGATAAGAGATACAAAAAGAAATTGCAGAAATTCATATAAACGGTAGTTAAGGACTAAACATAAATTCTAAGAAGAAATAATGTATTGTTGTCAGCAAGATGAACAACCCAAGATGTGAACTACAAATCTGAGATACCAAGATCAAGCAAGTATGAAAATTTAAAAATCTAGCAAGTGTTTTATCAGAGGACAAAAAAATATGACACCAAAATTTGAAGGCACATTGGAATAGTGAAAGTTGTCTTTCAAAAACTTAGCAATGTATGAAGAAAGAGGAGAATTTTGTTAGAAACAAAGAAAAGAATACTAATCTGTTATGTCCTCTTCTATGCCAGTGAATACTGGACAATCTCCTCAAGAGGAGATCTGAGGCAGCAGAAATATCGTTCTACAGAAGGGCATTGAAAATATCATGGACTGAAACATGTGACTGTGAGTAACAAGAAAGTTTTAAAGGAAAACAGATACAAAAAGAAGACTTATAGTTAAAAATAAAATCCGAATGAGAAAAGAGGACTTGTAGAACTCACAGGAGATATTGATGGGTAGAGAAAAAAAGCAAGGAATATCCGAATCGGAATCCACTTAACCAGTTACAATCTCTTTTTAGTCAAGTTTGTCTAATTTCTGTTCTGGATGGCAGAATAGGGATTGTGGGGATACCGAAAAGACAAAATTTATTAAGAGCTACAAAAATAAAATGCAACGGATAAGAAGTTGTGGAGAGTCATGATCGCCAACGTCCTGAAGGGACAGGGCATATAGTAGCAGTCAATGAATAAAAAAATGTGCTTCGGAAGTATGCACGCACGAGTAAGAAAAAAAGGAATTATTAAAATATATTTTTAGTTTTAGTACCAAATTAAAAGTGCAGTTTTATTTGTGGTTAGTGTTCACTGTTCAGGTAAATTGAAATAATTTTCAATTAGATTGAAAACAAAACTGAAATTTAAAAAAAAATTAAAATACATTTTAATTTTTGGCGAAGTGACTTAGCAGCCGATTGTTATAAAAATGTCTGTCAATCAGTGTAAGTCAGTAAAAAGAATACAAAAGAAAACCCTAGTAAATACAGGTCAAGGGTAAAGAAAGAAAAACAATTCCCTATTTTGTTCAGTGTGCATTCACTCAACAACAGCGACAGTCATCCTGGATTGCAAATATTTTTTATATAATGGGACAAATTTTCCAAGATTAAAAACTAACAATATATTTAAATAAAAATATGATATGAATATACAAAACAGTTAAACTTTTTTATTGAGCGTTATCTGGAACAACTTAAAAAACTGGCCTTAAATTTATACACCATCTCAGCTAGAAAGTATTGTACAGTATTAAAAATTGTATTGTGAATTTTTTTTTCTCATTCTTAATTTCGTAAATTTTTGATAGCTTTGTCAAAATGTACTTTAATGTTCATGAAATCATTCAATAATAATGTCCAAGTAAAAGTATCTTATATGTAGCTTTAAATTAAATTAAATATTTTTTCTTCTTTTATAAATACGAAAGTAAGCATTTAAAACAATATTAAAAAACGCAATGGCGGTACTTCGAAGTTGAATTCGGTGAAAAATTTTGAAATAAATATTAATAAAAATTGGTGTATGGTGAACATGCCACGATGCAGTTATCCGATAAACCCATGGTTGCTCAACTTTATTGTTCACCAGAAAAAAGGCCGGTCCGCTACTACATTGCATGTTCTGAAGGTTAGTTATTTCAAAGTTCTCGTGTTTTTAAAAAGTCAACAAATCATTTTGTTTTTTTACGATTTACCATATGTGATTTTTATTTTCATCCATTGAAATATTGGAAGCAAAATATTTCTTGAAATGAAAGTTTGCGGTTCCTATTCCTTGAAAATCGTTATTATGGAGAGATAGTAAATATAGTCGTCTATTATAGTCAACACTCAACAGAGTTAGCGAAAAGTCCACAAATTCATTAACATTAGGAACAACTATAATTTTCAAAGAAAATCACTTTACCATTTATTTACCAACCACTTTGTGCAATTTTATGGAATTTTAAAGTCAGAAAATAGAATAGTTAAAGCAATGACATTGTTGATATGTTGTTACCATCATAAAAATAATAATAAAAAAGAAAGTAAAGAAAGATTATCCAGTTAAACGAAAATTATTTGTCTTTGAAAATGCATTAGAAATCCAACAGACAATAATACAGTAGCGAGATGAAAATCTTACAAAAGGTAAAACGGTGTTGGAAATTGCAAAAATTATCAGCAGGTACAACCGAATTATGAAGAGCTACAATGCAAGTCTGATGTTGAGCAAATTGAGGATTTCATCTCACTAGTTACTCTCTTATTGTCTGTTGGATTTTTAACTTTTTTAGTGGCTAGGAAGTATCAAAACATTGACTGAAATGGGCAGCAGAATACATGAAGGCTGATTTTCCAACCATTCTTTTCATTAACAAAAAATGTCATGTAATTCTTAATGGGCCAGGCAGATGGAGCAAAGACTGGATGGTTACTGACAGAAACTTCCCACACAAGGTAAAATATCAGCAAGAAGGAGGTTTGCAATATTTTTGGATTGGATTAAAGGTGGTGAAATGGTGGACCCATGGTGATTTCCAGATGGTGTTAAGACACATTTTTTTTTTTTTTTAAAGGCATATGTGGAGCCATGGTTCAAGAAAAAAAATTCTTTCAGAAAGATTATTTTTATGAATGCCATTGCTCTGTTACATTTGAAGTGGCCCAACCATAACACAATTGAAAACTAGAGAATTCTGAAAGGATGACTTATTTTGGCAGATGGCAATTTACCAGCAAATATGAACTTTGGAAATACAATAGCTCACAAAATCAATGAACTAAAACTCAATTCAGAACATGGAGGATACATTTTACATTAATGTTGTCTTTATAACTTGCTCATTATTACAGTGACCATTTTGGATTTTTTGTTCTAAACATTTGTCTTTGTAAAATTTGTGCATGTTTTATAATTTTTAATTACAACATATTTTTTTTGAGTTTTAGTAACTTGGCTAATTATGTGACATTTGGAAAATCTGGTCAAATTTATAAAACTGTTGCCTCATTGTAAAATGGACATAATTTATACATATTGTGTGAAATTTGTACAATAATGGTGCAAATATTTCCATACATCTCTTAGTTTTCTAAAAGAATGAAATTTAAAAGTGGCTAATAATTTTCAATACAGTGTTCGTATTTCTTAATGCTGAAAAAATTAATATTTAGTTTGGGTTTTAAGTTTTATGATATTATTCATACAATTTTTTTTTTTTTTTGACAGGCTCACAATATCTCTATTATTGGTCCTGGTCCTATTGTTTGTATATTTTACTGAAAACTACAAAATTGACAGTTTAGAATTCGGTTAGTCTAATGGAAAATTAGACTAACCATTTTTCTTACAGAATCCTAAACTGTCAATTGCTTTAGTTACTGATTCAATAGCAATAACTGTTTTCTTTTTGAAAACATAAATCTCTTTGAACTTAAATTTATAAAAAAATCAAATTCACTAAAATATTTTAAACATTCAACTTATGTCTTCTTGTCTTTCCATTTTTGAATCTGCTTTTTTAGAAATGGAAACTAATATTATGCTTTTCTATTATTTCTTACATCTTGTTGGTTTATTATTCATTAATTCTTTTATAGTGTATTGATGGTCCATTTCCTGATGGCAGCAAGATGATGCTAGTAGGAGATGGAGAATTACTTATAACTGCTCAATTCGCAACAGATTCTTTTGAGAAGTAAGTGTTGATTAACAAATAATGTATGTTTATACTAAAAAATATTGTTTTTGATTCATTCATTCATTTTCTTTGGCCTATTAACCCTTTTCTGGCTATTTAAAACCAGAAAATATTTGTTTTAGGTTGTAAGAAACTTTTATTTTTAGATAATAATGATTTAGTGATGCAAGTCTTACTAATTAACCTATAGCAGGAGGAGAAGAGGTGGATTCATATCTTTCCTAAGGGTATTTGCATGCAAGTGTATATAATTTTTTCACAGTTTGTATTGATATTGTGCTGGAATTTTTTTCTCCTCTATTGAAAATTGTAAAACAATTTTATACAAACCCAAATTTATTGAAAAGTAGAAATAATGCAGTGTTCCTCCATCAGGGAATTCCTGTAATTAACATTTTTATAAATACTTGTCAAAATTTGATTTGAGATCAATGTCATATAAGATCAACAAGGTAAATGTGTTATAGTCTACTTATCTTTTATTGTTTTAAATATATCATCAGATTAGCAAAATACAATCTTTCTATTCTGTTATTCTTTATATGCCACACTCAATAAATCTTTGTTTTATTTTATTGAAAAGCACTCACTATCGCTGTTCCTTAGTTTTTCTTTTCTCCAGGTGTCTCAGCCTGTCTTTGTTATCTCTTCCACACCACATTACCATTTGAAGAGACAAAAAAAAAAACATTGTTAAATGTTCTCCAGCTTTTCAAAGGATTCTTCAACACATTTGCTGAAATCATCAATTGTCTGTATTGAATTCTGATAATGAAGAGCCTACATCCAGTTGAAATATCCCAGATCCCAAACATTGAAAGACCTCTTATCATATTCCATCCTTTTTGCACTCAAATAATATGAAAGCATCTTCCCATTACAGCGTGGCTTGGCATTGTCTTATTGGATAATGATTTACCAATACTTCATTCCAATTGGCTACTTCTCCTTAGTTCTTGAAATTATTTTCTCAATGATCATTTTCCAAGTCTTATATTTGCCTATAGATTCAGTGTTCTTTGTCACCAATGTTCCTTTTGGGTTATATACAAATGGTCATATCCCAATGTTTGTTTTGAAGACTTTTTTTTTTCTTGTGTGGATCAAATGTAGATCTAGCTACCAATATCTAGCTATGAATATTACCTTGTTAATGAATCATTTTCTTTTACACTATCAGGAAGTTTGTAGGGATATTATTATAATATTCATTATCATTATTTTATTTTTATTTATTTAAATAAAATAAACCAATAACAAAAATGTTGTATAAAATAAATAAAAATTAAAGATAATAAAAATATTCCCAGCATGCAACAAAAACTGTTCTTGCTGGAAATACAGACATCTTGCCAAAAGATTATGGACAGGCAACACGTGTGCAACTTCTCTCTGTGATATGGCATGTGATGGAGTGACTTCTCGCTATTATCACATTATCCTTTATCACATGTACCATAAACAATTGTAACCTAAAAAATACACACAAAAATATAAATAAATTGTAAGAAATTAACATACAATTTACCATACCTTTATTGTTATCTCTATATGCTTTATTTCTGTGACGTATGCTTTTTATCTCCATGAACCCAAGGCTAATTTCTGCTGCTTTCATTTTGGTAACCCCACAGTTTCATCAGAAAACATATGATTGACATAGGTTACATAAAAAAAAAACTCATCTATATGAACATAGATCAGCATTTTATCAAAAGACCCATCATCTCCAAAAAAACCATAACTGGGACCCTAACAGATGCTACCACCTCAGATCAGGGTGGACTTGGGAACAACAATAATTAATTGCTCCTCAAAACTACCAATATCTCAACCAGAGGCCTTACTGCTAGATGTAGTTTAATGTCATACCCAGGACTACAAACTGCAATCAATCCAGCTTGTTTTTCTTAGTAAGAAGCTTCAATGTGCTAGAATGCTGCTTAATTTCACCAGTCTTTAATAATCAACATAGAGAAATTTTAGGTGTTTCTATGCAATGAATAAGGTGAGCTAATGTTTATCTGTCATGCTGTGGAATATTTGATCAATGATCCAACTTTTGCTTTCAGCCACTCTATATATGCCTTTTTGTTTCACCAGAAACATTGAATTGCATCATTGCCTCCTTCACTAGTCAACCATTTTTGTGGCGTTGTAACAGAAAAAGTAGAATAGCTGATTGAGTTTCATTTGTTGTATTGGATTTCATGTTGTTTAAATTCTCTTCTTCCATTACTTACAATTTGGGATCACAGTGGATTTTAAAGTAAGACCATTGGAAATGGATAGCTTCCAGATTTTTATTTCATTGTGAAAAAATTGAATTGAAAACTCAAATTTTAATAGATTCAAGACTATATTGTGTAAACAGTGCATTTATGCAATCAGATTTAAAGTTTGTAATCAAGCAGCTAATGTCAATCCAGTCACTTATTGTGGAATAGAGGTAGTATTTTATATTTGTTTTCCCTTTTGCTGGATTTTTTTTTTTTTTTTTTTAATAATCATTAAAATTCCAGAACAAGTTATTCTTCTTTAACAATGGATTTTAAATAAATAGATTAAATGACATACTTTGATGGTCCTAAAAGTTATAAAACTATGCTGTGTGTCCTGTTCACCTTTTTATTGAAAAAAATAGATTCATTTTTAAACAAAAAACATCTTTTATCTCTTTAGTTGTTTTTGAACACAAAGTGACTTTCAAAGTAGATTATTATTGATGTTTTTGATACAATCAAACATATTTAAAGATTCCCATAATGGTTTTGATTTTGAAATAAAAAAAATATCTAGAGAGCAGTGGATGTGGGATCTAGTTCTAATTAAATATCTACCTAGAAACCAAATCTCCCATTGTCTCTTCTACATGTCTGGTAAAAGAGACAGGGAAACTTTTGATATCTGGTACTATACCACTTTTATAATTTGCTTTCCAAAGGGACAAGCTGAATGAAACAGAATCATCTGGGTTTCTTATCTTTTTTTCTGATTTTGTAGGAAAACAGTTTATAATAAGCACTAGTAATTGTTAAAAAAATTATTGCTGGGAAATACATAATGACAAAGTATTCAAAATCTAAGAGATTCCATTTATAAGATTTTATCACTTTGATCATTTTGCCCGGGGATGTAACAGTAAGAGATAGATCAAGTATTGACTATCATAAAGACTGAAAAATAAAATTGACAAAGATTATTGTTTAAGGTTGACGGACACGCATATCTTAATTAGTTTTTTTTTTTTTTACGAATTGGTCAAACTCAAACAAAAACATTGTTTTCAATCGTTATGAGTCTACCGATTGAATAGAATTTTATTATAAACAATTGTTATGTAAATGGAATTTTTAAAGCATTCTGAATGTAAAAATAAAGAAAAAAGTGTGCAAGACAATAAGAAACACTACCTGCTAAAAAAAAAAAGTGAAGTTTTGTTGAAATCGGTTGAAAAATGTAGGAAATCCGATCCTATATATAAACGAACACACACACAAACAACCTTGGTTTTATAATATGTATAACTCGATATGAGTTGTCCCCCTTTCATTCTCGTGATGCCTCTTAATCATGTTTTCAAATTGATTTCATGCAAAAACAATTGTGTTTTTCCAATTTTTGGCGTTGTTAGAACCACCGCAAGGTAATTTTACGTAGTCCTGTGAAGTTTTGTTGAAATCAGATGAAAAATGTGGGAAATCCGATCCAATATATAAACACACACACACACACACACACACACACACACACACACACACACACACACAATCTGCATTTTATAATAAGTAAGATTTATGCCAAAAAGAAAGTTTTCTTTTCTTCATGGAAAATGTCTTCAATTTTGAGTCCTTGTATTAAAGAGTTCACATGTTTTTTGTTTTTTAATCTTTTTCTAAACATTTGTTTTCTATCATTCACTACTTTGAAGACTTAATTTTTAAAAAGCTAAAATAAAGATAAATATATAGATAAAAATTCTCTTTTTTTTTTTTTCTTTCAGACTTGAAGCTTCTGAAGAAGAAGAGATATGGGAAAAATCTTTGATCATGGTCAAAGATTGGGACATACGTTTGTTACTCAAAGAAACAAAGGTCTGTTGTTTTAGTTTTAATGATTGCATTCATTTAGGAGAAAATTTTCTTTCCAGAAAAAAATCATAAAAATAGAAAAAAAATTGCACCTAATTTTAAATGAGACAGAGAGACTGTTTGCTCACTGTTTTTTTTACAGTCACACTAACAGCCTATTTGTTCATTTTAGAAAATGTTGTCTCATACATACATACATAAATATTATATATATATATATATATATAACATCAAACATTATTTTTAGTGTATACTCATATTTGAAATAGACACTCCATTTTATTTTAAACACTGTATTACATCTATTGGCCTGTGCACTTGAGAAATCTTAAAGAAAATGTCCCCTCATACAGACATCCGCTAAAAGCAATATCTGAAGTAATGAAAATATTGGATTAAAAATAAATTCATTAATTCTTTAAAAATATATATATTTATATTCTGTCTATTGTATTTGCCTTAAAGGACATTTTCTGTCTAAATAGACAGCAAATGTCCTTTTACCCTTTGAGCACTGACCACCAGTGGTAGAGAAAAATGACTTAATACTACTGGGTGAACGGTGGGTAAATACTTCTAACTATTTTTATATCTACTGTGAAACATTACATACCAATTATTTGTGAATTTTGACTCAGGAGCTCAGGCAGAAGAGCTAAAATTGTTTTAAGAACACAGGGCTGAAAGGCAAATACAGACATTTTGTGTCAATTAGTTTTAATGATTGACTTTTCCAAATTATAAATAATCCTTCTGAAAGAAGGAGGAAATTCTATCAGAAATTGTTTGAAGTTCATTTCAGAAGAAAAGTACAAGAAATGTGGTTGAAGCTTTTGACTTTCTTAAGTCATCATCAGGATAGGTAGAGACAGTTGGTGAGTTTTGTAGAACTAGTGACTCTTGTGACATAAATGAGGTGCAACATTTTTTTTTTTTTTGTTCTTTTTTCATATACATTTAAGAATGTGAACCCTTAAGTTCTAATTGTTTTTATTTATTGATGTTTTTTTCTTGCTGTATGAGTATTGCTCCAAGGATCATAAGTCTGTTTTTATTATTTGATTTTGCTAGTATTTTGGTATTGTTTGTGCAAAGCTGTCTAATGTTACTATGAACCTCAGACAACACATTAATAAAAAAAATCTTTCATCTGACTCATTTTGTCCTTTAGGACTTCAGACTAAATTGATGTTTGTTGATGTGATTACATATGCACATAAAAAAAGGGGATGCTGAAATTCTAAATTAAAAAAAATTTCTTTTTTTAAATATGTGTTTATATCATCAACAGTAAATTTACATCAAGGTTCATACAACATTTCCCCTTTCTTGGTAGATCTTCTATTATTACAATGTGAGATTGTTTAATAACAAAAGTGATGAAAACAAAAAGAAGTAAAAGAACTAAATGAAATCAGCTAGGCTATATGCACAAACACATTTTTTAAAAAATATTTTAATTTAAAATTTCAATGTCCCCTCTTCTTCAGATGCATATATAATCACATCGCCATAAACATTTTCTTAGTACAATGAAGTCCTAAAAAATGAAATGTGTCACACACAAAGATTTTTCCACTTTGTCATAGATTTTTGTAAAATTGTTCTAATACATAAAAACTTATATATTGTTTTCCCATATATGAAATATATAAAGTGCAATATATTCTTTTTAAAAATGTTATATTTCATTCACTGAATATGTTGCTCTCAGCTGGAAACCAATAAAAAAAACTAAGAAAGGATTTTTTTTTATTATGCACTGTGATTATTCTTGATACAAAGTTAACAGGTTTTTCTCTCTCAACAATAATTTTTGCAGGTTATTATTAAATGTGCAAGTAGTTTAATGGTTATTGGTATTTGAACTTGGTATGCTGGTTCCACTAACCAGCATACCAAGTTCAAATTCTGACTGAGTTTGTTTCATTTACTTTACATTAATGCTTCCGCCACTTATGGCATAACTAGCTAAACAGATTGTGCTCTCTTGTTTTTGGTGGCAGCCAGTCTAGGAAAAGAAATTTATGTGTCCATTAATAACGGGGCAGACTGGAGTCTTTAGCCTTGGTAGAGCAACAAGTCTAAAAGGATAACTATGAATTCAGAACCATTCTGACTAGGTATGGGCTCTGTCATGCTGCCTTGCCCCAGCTACAGCTTTAGCTCATATGGTTATTATTGTGAGATTATTAAAAACAAAAATTAGTCTACTTTTCTTCTCACCTATAAATCAATTTATTGTATAATGAAGCAATAGAACAATAGAAAATGAGATGACAGCAAAAGTTAATGATGATTTTGGGACTTATTTTAATTAACACAATCTGTTTAATTGAATAAAAATTAGTTCTTAATATTTCTATCTCATTGTTTTTTGTTTTGTAGGAAAAATCTGAATACATCATGGACATTAAAAGATTTGTTATTTGGTATGATGAAACAGGCTTGTCATCAAAAAATACCATGGTACCCTGGTAATTTTAATTTTTTTTATTAATGATTTTTAAATAATAATTTATGGGTAACAGCCTAAGTAAAAATTTGATTTTTTTTTTTTTTTTTTTTTTGTCTAGCCAAAATATTAGAAATTAAAAAAAAAATTGATATTTCAGATTTAAACTTCTTAAAATACAGAAAAATAATTAGATTTACTTTAGTTATCATTTTTAATCTTCCAACCTTGAAAATGTAACTCAATTGTATTTTTTTCTGGTTTGGTTTTTATTCATTAGTTTTAAAATAAGTTTAACCTTTTCAATTTTCTGACACTTATTTTGAACTGCTATAATTACATTTTAAATTTCTTTGAAACAAGTACACAATAAAGTGTACTTGTTTCAAAGTTTGTTTAATGAAAATCTTTATGAATAAAATTTTTTATTTCCATTTTAGTGAATCTCATCCACAAATCCAAGAAAATATTGCTAGGATTTGGGCTGAAAATCATCCATTCAAGTGAGTATGTTGGGCCTTTAACATTTTTTCATTTTACTAAACCTATCCATTAAAATCTTTCAGAGATCCTTAATCTTTAAAATTACATTTTAATAATTGCTACAATTATGTTTTAAAGTTATGGTCATTCATACAAGACCAATTTTGAATATATCTTGATAAATGATTATGCAGCCTTAATGTAATTTACAACAACTTATAACTCAAGGTTCTGTTTTAAAAGACTAAAATTGTATGTGTGTAAACATGTACTTGAGTATGCATATATGAGGGTTTGCTGAAAAGTTCTTAATCCAACCAAGAAGGGATTCCTAATAAAATTCTGGTATTTAGTCATTTGGTCAGATTTTGGAAAGTGGGTCAGCAAACTTTTATATGTATACATTTACACATGCACATACATGTTCTAAGATAGTCAATGTTATCTATTTGTCATCATCATCAGAAGTAGCAAGGATCTGTATGTGAAAATGTTATATGTTCATTATTTTAAGTTTTAGGTTAACCTAAATATTACTTTATAAAATCTCTACTACAATGTTCTTGCTGCCAATCAAATAATTTGTTACTGTAAATGAGAATTTTTTTTTTTTTTGTGCCATTAAAGCTATGAATGAATGGGTGCTATCATCTGTTCCATGACTTTGAATGAAGCTTGGCAAACATTGAGAAGGTGAAGAATTAGGATTCTCTTTCCTTCTTTGTAATTTTATTTTTGTACAAAAGTGTAAATAGGAATATAAAGGACAATAATATTTCTGGATGTGTACATATTCTATAAACCATTTTCAAATCCCTTTTTTTTTTTTTTTTTTTTCTTTTTCTAGTCAATTGGTTTCAGATCCTCAAGACTCTGATAAAACAGACAACACTGTGAATTCAATTCCACTAACTATTCTTTTGGAAGAGATTGAAAAGGGTAATGATAAATCGAACTCAGAAGAAGAGTCTTTTAATCTGATACCCAATGCAGGTAAAAATATTTTGCTTTTCTTTGACTTAATATAAATATTTAAAGAGATGCAAAAATGCACCTGCTCTTTTTTCTCTAATGAAAACCAATTTAATATATATATATATATATATATATATATATATATAAGAATAGAAATTAAAATTTACCTCATTCGAATAGCTATTTCAACCAACAAGAAGAGCTATGTTGGCATTGTCATCTCAGAATCAACCTAATTGAACTAGTATCCTCATCTTAGTTGATATAGTCGCAATATTTTGACTGTTGTATTTTTCTGTTTTGTTGTACTTATGGAGACAGTGGAGTAATGGTTAGTAGCTCAGATTGAGGATTCGGAGAGCCAAGTTTGAATTCTAGTCAAGTTTATTACATTCACTTACATGCTAATACTCTAGGGAAAGGCATGAATCCATATCTCTCCCTCGCCCAGCTATGTGTAAATAGCAGCACAGACTTGGTCCTATAGCTTTGGGTAGCAACTGGTCTAGGAAACTGAATTCAAAATCTGAGGGCCTAGTGTATGGAAACCACACTGTTTGCCATGGTCTTTGGCTGTCAAGAGCTTGGAGAAGAGATGGGCGCCACCAAGCTGTTTGAAAGCCAGTTAAAAAGATCACAAGGAAAAAGAATAAAAGTCTGTTTCTTCTGCCCTCGAGTCACAGTTTCAAAGTTGCTTGGATACATTTTCATTTGGCTGTCCAATGTGAATTTACTATTCAATAGTAGAACTTGTATTTTAGTAACACAAAAGAAATGACTCTTTGCAGTTTGAAACCATGGAAAATCAAATGTGGTATTAAGTCGAATAAACTAGGAAGAACTTATATGAGTTATGTTCCTTAGCATGGACAGCAGAATGAAAAGAAAAATAGCCCCACAGATTGAAGAAAAGGTTTGGTTTCCAGAAGAACGCTGAAATAACAGTAGAAATCTTGTAATTACAACAACCAAAATAAGAACACTAGCCCGACTGGCTAGATTAATATGTAATAATAATGTTAATTCTTCATCTCAGAAATTCAGGCAAAATGGGAAAAAAATGATTCATAAATTATTTAGTCTCATAATATCATCTCTGTTATATCTGAGAAATGTTCCATAACTTTGCCATTTACATGGATAAATAATTATTGAAAATATTTCAAGTTTAATAAAATATTTTAAAGTAATGTTCTTTAAATTGTTTTATCTTAATATGAATATTGCATAATTAAGATAGAATAATCAATTTATTGTAAAATTGCAAAGCATATATATATATATATATATATATATATAAAATTCTTCACCAGTAGCATGACACAATCTTCAGATAGTGAGTATAAAGCACTCAGACATCTAAGATTTGGACAATTTCTACATAATTTATATCTAGAAAAGAAAATTATAAGAAAAATGAAATAAAAAACTTAACCACAGTAACTTGTCAGTCATTTTTAATGAAACTTGTATAAAAGATGGGTTACTGCGCAAGTACACAATTTTATATATATATATATACACATATATATATATATATATATATATATAAGGAGGCACTGTGGATAGCAGCTGTGATTGAGGAATCTGAAAACCGAGTTTGAATTCTAGTTGAATCCATTACATTCACTTATAATACCCTTGGGAATGGTATTAATCCTCTTCTTCTCCTCCAGCTATGGGTAAAATAGCAGGACAGACTGTGTTCTTTAGCCTCAGTTAGCAACTGATCTAAGAGAAGGACAACTCTGAATTCCAAACCTGTGGAGGGTTGTTTGGGGACCTTGTGGCATTTAGTGCACCAGGTCTCTATTTGGCCCTTCAAAAAGTGTGCTTGGTTCTGCACAGAGCCTTCACCATTATAATCAAATCATACATGCTGGTGTCTGGCTGTCGATTCCTAGGAACTGAGCTGCTTGACCCTCATACATCAAATACAATGGGAGAGTCCCCACACACACACACTATATATATATATATATATATATATATATATATATATATATATATATAGAGAGAGAGAGATAGAGAGAATTGTATTTTTAATCTCTGAAAAGTTTGTAAATTTTTGGTTCTATGTGTCTTTGTTAATTGCTTATTGTATATTTGTTTTTCTTTTAACACCAGGTTCTATACTCACTGTATCTGCTGAAAATCTGCAGCAGAAATTTGAAACTGAAAATATTCAAGATTTCATCATTAATCCAAAAGATGCAGAATTACTTGAGGCCATTGTTGGTTTGTACCTAATATTTTCCTCCTTGGAGTATGTGCTCTTAAAGCTGATCATAGTAGTATCTGTGTTCTTACAAAAGTTTTTAATCATAGTAACAGAAGAGAAAATATTAGTGATAACATTAAAACTCTATCTACAAATAAGATAAATTATATAAACAAGGCTGCTTGATGATTCTTTTGGAAGTTTACAAAAACACTTAAACATAAAAAATAAAAACAAAAATGTGTACATTTTTTTTTTCTAAATTTTTACATTGACTCTACCGTTTTACCTTACTGCCTACAGATCTCTTAACTGTTTTTACACACACTTGAGATTTACAAGTTATGTAATAAAGTCCTGTAGCAGTTTGTAAAATTTTTCTCAAATCCGACATTGTTTCTCATAAATATTTTTTCTATCAGGAAATTTTAATTAAGTAGTAGAATGAAATTTTATCCCGAATATTTTGAAACTGCTATTAACTAACCTCATTAATTTACAATTGTCAAATTATCCTCATTTCCTCTGTATTATTGCACCCAGTCAGCTTTTCTCCCCAAGAACTGCTACTTTGTGAAAGACTCCTGTGTGAACCCCCCTAAAAATAAGGAGGAAGAAATTTGGCAGCACAATATTATAAAGAATTAGCATCATGTCCATCAAACCTAACAATAATTGTGTCTGCCAACCACAATACACAACACTATTTAACAAAAAAGAAAATACCATTAAACCATACAGCTTACACATGAAAGAACTCGTATCAAAAACTCAGATGAACATAACACATGTCCTGGAAACAATTTTTTTTAAAATTACAATTCATGGCTGCATTTTGCAGAGAATACTTTCAAATGGCTTTGACTGACATGTTTTTGGTAAATATGATAGACAATTTATATTTTTTCACCCATCTTAGGTCCACACAAGGTGCATCATTTTTTCTTTCTTTCAATGGATGGTCCCTCAGCAGTTTATTTCTCATTAGAATTTGTAGTTGTATGAATCCCTGTGAAACCCAAATTCCTTCAGCATTTGTTCATTTTGGGATTATTTCCAGGAGATGAACAATATAAATGAAGATCTGAATCACAAGATATTCTTACAAAACATGAAGGTCTGAGCTTTTGATGTAAAACATTGTAGGATGGAGTCCCCCCCACCTTCTGCCCTTTCAATTAGTTTAGAAGACCAAATTTCAGACTTAACCTTTTGAGTAATATTTTTCATTCCTCATTGAAGAGTTTGAAGAATCATTTTGTTGTCATCATTCATAACATCATTCGATTCTGAATAAGGAATGCTCACATTATTATTTTCATTATCATCTTTAAAAAATGAAATGGCAACTATTTAGAATGGACAATATTTTTATTTAATTAAAAATTTCAATTATGGGTCCAATGGACCCACTTGGTAATAGAAGTCAGAATATATAAGAGTGAAAAATTTAGTTTTGAAAAGAATTTATTGGTCCATTGTTTCCTGGACATGTGTTATGTTCATCAGAGTTTTTGATATGATTTCTTTCTTGTGTAAGCTGTATGGTAGACTGAGTTAAACGGAATGATTAGATTTATTCTAATTATTCAAAGTACAGATTGTCTCAATTTTAATCTGATTTTGATATTTTTTTTTTTTTTTAACTGATAATAAATTTGAGAAATGTTTTTTATTTTTCTCAAAATAAAATTATATTTTAATTCATTTTCTGTTCCTTAAGAATGGCAAAATGGTAACAATGTGTCTGAAAATGCTCCAGAAAAATCTACCAGTGAAATACCTGTTTCTGTTTTGGCTGGCACATCAACACTAAAATATCAATTCAAGCCTTCCAAGGTAGGACACCGCAAACTGTTTTTCTTTCATTGCTTAATAACAGTTTAATCTCTAGTTCTACATTGTGGCTTTTAGATATTCAAACTGGTATATACACTTGGTGGGTTTAATATAGATTGTAAATTATATCATGGAATTTCTGTGCATGTAACTAGATCGGTGGTTCTCAAACTTTTTTCTCTGGGCCACATTTTTAGAATGAAAATTTGCTTGCACCTCACCAAATTTTATGTGATAAAAATAAAAAAAAACTGAGAGATGGTTAAAGGTCAGAACATTATCATTGATAACTTTCTCCTCCAATTTGCAGACCCTAGTAACTCTATTCTTAATACTTAATATAATGCAAAAATATCAGTGATAAAATCAGTCAGTAATTACTTATAACTATTTATGCAAGGACCATGTATGCAATTACAAGTAATCCATAATAATATTTTAAATTTTGAAATCATATTTATTTCTGGCATATGAATTTTTGAAAACTGTTTCTAAACCTTTGTTTCAATCATTCTGCTATCTCCTTCTGCCGCACATATGAGGTGCGCCACAGCGTTTGGGTACCACTGAACTAGATTGTTGTAAATCACTGGCCCATTTGTTATAGATTTTATAAAATATTAATCTCTGAAATGTCTGTTAGATTTGTTAGAGAAATATAAAGATTCTTAAATCGTTTGTAAGGAACTTTCTTATCCATGGTTCAAATTATAAAACTTTTTTTTTTTTGTTTTAATAATTTAATTTGTGATGGAGTGAAAACTTTTATTTTGATGTATAATTTTTTTACTTCTTATAAAATGATTTTAAACTCCTGTGATGCAGGTTTGCCAAAAGACAGTTGTAGTTACACCTACCACCCTGAAGAGATGTTTACATCAGGATGAGATAATGGCTCCAAGACCAAACAGTGATGCAGAAGAAGAGGAAATTCGTCTTTTCAATTTATCAAGTGTTTTAAATGAAGACAGATGTTCACCAATGAAAGATGATGACCAAAGTTTTAGAAAGAATGCCAAGAATGTGAAGAATTCTTCAAAGGTTGTTCCCTGTCCTGCTACAAATGAGGCAGCTTCTGTGAGTGGTGCAAGCAATACTTCTGTGTTGAATAAAGACTCTACAGAAACATCATTTGAAATACCTATGAGTGGAAAAGTTGCTTCCAATTACAATGCTAGCAAATCAAACTCTGATGATCTGCACTGTAGTCTGTTTGATTCCACTTTAGATACAAGTCCTGAAAAACGCTTAACTCGATGGAACAACTTGGATATGTCTTCTATTGAGAGTGAAAAACAATTTGTTTCTGTCACTTGTGCTGATAAAGCTCAAAGAGATGTGAATAAAATATCAAAAAGGATTAAACTAACACATGCCACTGATTCAACTAGTCATGCTATATCAAATGATTCACAAGGCAGCCTTTTGAATCAACCTCTTACAGAACCCAATAATAAAAAAACAACCTCAAAATCATCAACATTGTCCACCTTCAAATCAAATCTTTTAGACAAGTCAAGTTCTCAAGAAGATGCTCCCAATGAAGGACCTCCTACTGTTTCTCATAGACATCTCTTGCCTTGTCTAGTTAAAACATCTTTGGCTGCCACAGAAAAAAATAATTTGTTAACAAATAGTTTACATAAAGAAGCACAGCCTGTTGGTAAGTTGTTCTTTAATATCAAACCTTATTTGTTACATCTGTTTTTGCTTCTCTAATAAATTTCATATTTACAAAGAAATAATTAATCTACACCTTAGCATTCATGTTTTTAGTTTTGGAAGGTTGGCTTTCAGGAGATGACGGCTTAGTTATAAATTGTTAGGTATTCCTGTGTAGCAATCAATGTTATAATAAAAACTTGGGATGAATATAAAAAATACCAACAAGTAAGAATTGTCCAGAAATAGTTCCATAATATATGGAAAGAAGATAGAAACTATTGATAGGATGAAAAAGAAAAGGTATCAAGAATGTTGGAATAGATACAAAAACTTAGTCAATTTACAGGGTTGTTTACTTGTATGACTGAAAAAAAAAAAAGAGGAAGTGGCAGTGTTACCTGCCCAAATGATTTTATTGGATTCTCTCTTAAAACACTAGTCATCCAACTAAACCTGGAAGATAATTTTGTATTAAGAATATCAGTGGATTATTTTTCTCTGAACAGACAAGAGAAATCTTTGTAAAATCCTATGATTAAATCTTTTCACTTGAAAATATGAATCTCTATATTTTATGTTTCTTTATTGCCTCTGGCTTTATTTGCATTTGGTTATTGACTTTGTGTGTAATAAAGCAACAAGACATTTCTTTTTAATGTTTAAGTTATTTTCATAAAAAAAACAGTGTATAAAATGACGTGTTTTCTGGAATGATTCTATACCATTTTCACACTAGTATCTTCATTTTTGTTGTTTTTAGCCTAGGATTTCGATGCACATAACGTTGAAATACTGGTTCTTGTGCAATCACCAAATAGTAAAACTTGTATCACTAAAACCATTATTACTTCTAAAAAAGTAAAAATTAAATAAAACTGTACAAATTGTTAAGATTCTTGCATTAAATAACCTATAGAGTTGTTGATATTCTTCTATTTGTTATCTGTATGACCTTTAATAGCAAAGGAAAAGCTGTTAACTTAGCAATTTTATGTGAATGGATGACAGTATGTTAAAGAGTCAAATGTTAGAGGGTCTTGTGAAGAGCCCTGATCACAAACATTCTGAAGGGACATATAAAAGAAGAAGAAACAAGTCTTTTAAAGCCTCAATGAAGCATAGTTCATTAATAATTAGTCTTGTGTTGTGTTTAGCATTTTTGACTTGCTATAGTCAAATTTTACAAAACCAAAATTTAAATGTTTTACAAAAACATGACTGAGAATTTTAAGAGAACAAGTTTTCCAATAAGTTTTTTTAAACAAATAATTTTGTTGAACTTATTTTTTCCTTTTCTTTCTATTCCAAAAACGGGGAAAAAATCATCATTTAAATTCAAACTTTAAGTCTTGATATAGCAACAGGTGAGTTGATGTAATTGTTTTCTAGATCCAGAAATCCATATTTTAAATCTTTTTAAAAGTATCATTAAATTTTTTCTTATTGTAAGAAAATATGCAAAATTAGGAAATTGAAAAGTTATTACATGTTCATAAGTTTTAATAAAAATTCAAGTGAGTTGAAAAAAACCCATCAGGTTCTATACATGGAAAAAAAACTTAACTATAAGTCGGGCTGTATTTATTCCTTGAGCCATTTCCAATGAATTTGATTCTGACTGTAGGCCCTAATTTTTTTTTTATTCTGCACCAGACTAAATTCACCATTTTCAATATAAATTTTCAGAATAACTCTGAGTAAATATTTTTTTCTTTTAAAGGCTTTCAGTTGATATACTTTTAGCTCATCTGTCCAGATTTTTATAAGTATTTAAATCTCACAACAAAGAAAGGGATTGTAAATATCTTAACCAATAAAAAGTATTTTAAAAATCTTAGAAGCTAATTTTCTTTTTTAAATGACATTTTTCCAAATTTCTTCAATAGATTTATATTTGCATCATTCCAATTTCAAATAGAAAAATTTGAGATATGTGAGTAGAAGTAAATAAAACTATCAACCAAAAAAAAAGAAATGTAGGTTTTAATAAAACTTGATACTTTCTGTTTTGATAGAAGTCTTCAACTTAATGTAGAAATGCTACCTTCCATGATTATCTTTGTTTTTTAATCTGCGTTAATTATCTTACTTTTGTCTTGTTCCTTACTTTTAAGGATCAAGAGAAGACATCCTATCTTCCAATGTTTTTTATCCGAGATCAGCTTGTGTTTACTTGGTACCCTGCATTAGTGGTTCAACAATCCAAGCTGGCTTGGCAACTGCTAAGCTTGTAGAGTATTTTTTTCATGGTGACCTCTTAAACTGCTTTACTGGGCTTAAGGGTCCCATCTGCTTTGCTGGGGGCTGGCAGCAGGGATTAATTCCTGACCAAACCTATTTTGGGAGATGATGCCCTGCCTTTCTTTCTATTATTATAAAGTGAATCCAAACTGCCTCAGCCAGAATTTGAACTCTTCACCGATTCTATTAGATCACCCTCACTTATTTTTTACTGCTATAACAGCAGTTGTCACAGAAGACAAGTTTTTCATTTTCTTTCAGATTATCTCAGTAGGCAGACTATTTGTCCAACCAACTCTAACAAGCAATTCTGTTACTGTTGTATTCAGATTAATACAAAATTTAATGTGACCATTTTCGTACATTACTAAATCTCATGAACAGGAAGGAATTTTTTCTATTAAAATAAATATGCTTCAATTATTTTATTGAAGGCTTTTCTCTCTTTTTTCAGAAATTTATGCAACTTGCCAAGAAATGTTTCCAGTGAGTTTCTTTATTTTCATGGGAATTGAGGGAGTGTTTGTTACAACCTTGTATTTTTTTTTTTTTTTTAAACTCAAACTGATTTTATAAAATGCATGGTTTATTTTTTTTTCTGATATGTTAGTCTTCTTTTCTAAGAATAAAAGTGTTTGTATTGAAGTTAAGGATTTTAAATTGTCTTTCATGTAATTCTGAACCAACATATCACAGGATACTAAACAATCTTTGTTTAATAACAGAACATTTTGGTTTCATGAAATTTACTACAAATAGATTAAAACTAATCATATTTTTCTAGAACAGTAAAGGAAAAAAAATATAAATAAAATCAATAAATTGGTGAGGTTCCAAATTTCTTAAATATCAGTTGACAGATCATAAATTTTCTATTCGATGAAAATCTGAATAATTTACTGGCTATGTCATAACACTTTTTCTTTGTGGCAAGATGCATTATAATATTGCAAAATGGCTTCATCAACACCAAATTTATTTTCTACTGATGGAATGAGAAAAGTGTCCCAAATCGCAATATTTACTGGAGTATTGACTGTTAAGGTAATGATTGCCATAGATCCCACCACCACACACACTTTACATGCAATCCAAAAACAAATGGCTAAAACTGTTTTTCTTTAGGCAGTTATTTCAGTGGAATATCTTAAAACAAAAATTCGAGCATCATCTAAGGAAAATTTGTTTCCTCATCAAATATCACCTTCATCCAAATCACTTGACTGCTTCTCTGTAGCTAATTGCAACCTTGTTTTCACCTATTTAATTAGGGAAGTTTTTTTTGTTTTTTTTTTTTTCTTTTTATCAATTTACTCCATGCAAGGGTCTACTAGGAATGAAAAGACTTTAGAAGGAACTGGAAATTCAAAGGCTAAACCTCTACTCCTGTTCAAAGGACCAGGGGAAGAGTGTGAGCTGGAAGTTGGCTTTTCCATTCAACCAATTTCTCACACAGGCATTAACTCCTGAGGGAGATGTTGCCATAGGGTTGGAATCTCTGTCACCAGGCTTTCTTCAGAGGTTAGAGAAGCACACATAGTATATGCTGACTCAAACTTAAAACGTCAAAAAAAAAAAAAAAAAAAAAGAAAGTCAGGTTTCCTTTCAATTAGCCAAATCCAACAGATCAAGGTCAGTAATCACTCATTTAGCTATAGACTAATTTGCATATTTACATTTGTGCTAATTGATTAGAATTGCAATAATACAGAGAAGTGGACAGGCAGCTTCAGTTGTCTTATGTTCACAGAAGACAAACTCCAGATGAATGGGATAATTCCAAATACCTGCATTCTTCGGCTGAAGAATGGATTAGTAACAAATTTCTCTCACTGTAAACCTCAGATGCTGACTACTTACAACATTCACTTATTTCTTATGGTTTAAATGAATGCAAGCAAGAATTTATCTGAATTCCTGGTTTATAAGTGAAAACAAAATCAATGATCTTTGAACTTAAAGATGTAAAAAAAAAAAAAAACACCTGCATCTCTCTTGGGTTAATTCTCGGTAACCTTTTCTGTAAGTTGAAAATAATATTTTGGGAGTTTTCTAATTGTTTTTAAAATCACAGACTACTGATTTTCACTTTATGTTCTTTTACCTTGACTATTAAAATAATAGAAGTATATTTTTTTCATACTCTTGTATTAACATTAACACTTTTTTTTTCACTTTCAGAAACATGCTTCTTGCTCGTCTCTTTTGCCACCATCAAATCAACTCACAGTACAGAATAATCTGAACAACATTCACCTTCCCAAAGAAACCATGGAAAGTATTAATGCATATTGGTCCCTCTCACATAATCGCCTCTGGCAAAGACGTTAATAGGAAAAACAAAACTGAAAATCAGAATATAATAGCACTTTACAATTTTGTAAATACACATCAAATCCACAGAAAATTATCCTTCATTTTCAAATTGTTCTCATGAATTTTTAATATTTTAAAACTCAATTTCACATTTTTAAGAAACAGTATAAAAACCAAATAAATATCAATTTTTTTCTTCATGCATTAACAAAAAAAAAAAAAGAAAGTTTAAGTTCAAAAGGATGAGTTCTCATATTCTCTAGAATTTTAAATATTATAGAAACACTGAAACTGATGTTTTATTGATTTCTTTTTCTTGCCATAAAAAAAATTAGTTGTCCAAAAATCCATTTAGAAAACCTAAGTTAATTGACTCGATTTGTTTTCTCTTCATGAATGTATATAAATTTGATTGACATAATTTACATCTATTGTAGTAACAATGAATATATACCCTCTGAGTACCATTCTGCCCAATGTGTTTAGCTATACAATTCACACAATGATTTTCCAAGCATCTCCAGCTTTTTCTCCTTAAAAGAAAATCTTTGAGACTGCATTAAGTAATGAATTTCCCCATTTTATTTGCATTCATATTTCTGCCCACCAACTAACATAATTGGATTTATATTTTATAGATTTAAAATGGAATAATAAATTATTTTTTTTCACTATCTAGGTTAGGATTAATACACTTTTTGTATCTGAATTTTCTCCTCACTAGGTGATTGATAAATCTAACTTGAGTGTTAATTGCTTAATACGACAAACATCAATAAATATTTTCTATTTTCAATGGAATGAAAATAGAAAGTTATTTTTAGACTGACAGAAAAGACTGCATTTTAAAACGAAGCTTTAAAAATGAATGTTGTTCCCTTAAATTTTTTACTCTCCCATTTCCCTAATAAAGTCAAACGTAATCATCAATATTTTAAAGTATTTTGTTTTAATACAAGGTTCTACTTCACTCTTTATTTCTCTAACAGAAATGTTTAAATAAAAGAACTTGGGTTCTTGTAACTTCAAAAATGAGAATCCGTCCATATACACTTATCTGCTCTATCTATTAGTACATTTTCAAAGTCACTTATTTTTAATGTACCAGCAGAGTTTGTTTTAAGTTTATAAGTGAAATTCTGACAAGATACAAGCTGCAAGACAATATTACAACTGACTCCGAGCAAATCCATATTAATGAGGCTTATAGATAAGCAAATGTCATATATAACTTATTTATTCATTCATCTGATAGCAGAAGAGACATTTCAAAAGGCCTTGAATTATATTTTTTATCTCAGAAACTAATAAATTGTCTTTTTGCTATTTCTCCTAAACCTTGTTCCCCCATCCATTTACTGTTTTCTACTGTCCTGTGAGTATCAAATTTTCCAAGCCCTCTTCTCTCATTATGTGTGTTAGAACTGACCCAAAACTGTAGAAAAATGAAATGTTAAGCAGAAAAAAGAGAAAAAAAAAAAAGGCATACACTCATTATTTCTCATGTTTTATTAAACTCATTTTTTTTTTTTAAAGCCAACCATTTTCAGGTTTGTTTGTTTTTTCTTCCTAATAGAATGCTGAATGATGCTCAGTTCAGTTTCCAATGATACAAGTCAGTTGAAAACTTACAAAGAGAGGAGGGGGAAAGCTAACTAATCTCTACACTTATATCTTAGCAGCAAATATACCTTCTTCCATTTGCGTGTCCCATTTCTCAATCTGCAAAACAACAAATCAGATTATAGAGTACAATTATATATTAATTAGCAAAGGATTTTTTTTGGGGGGGTGTCTCAAAACATATTGATAATGTCATGGAAATCAACACGTGCAATAAAAATTATTTTTCATTCTTTTAATTCTGCAGACAAAGATATGTTCCTCACTTGAAGAAATGAATGCAAGAGAAAGGAAGATGAAAAAATATATATTGAGGAAAGTACATGGCTTTAAATTTTTCATAGAAATCCATGATTTAATTGTATAATGAGGGAGATGGGGTAGCAAATCAGACCATTCTTTTGCCACCTCATAAATCTACATGAAAAAAAGGGATAAATGAAAACTTACCCAAGCATTTGGGCAGAGGGATTTGTATATTCTCTTGAAGTAGTCACAAGGTTCATGGTCCTCACCCTTGATTTTATGGCATCGATGATAGTCAACATAGTTTTGCCAACAATTTCTACAACAAAATTAAAACAAACATTTAAGGAAGTTTTATCTTGATCAGAAAATAAACATAATGATGGCAAAGTTTAAAAAAAAAAAAGAAAAAAAGTTCAGCTTTTTAAAGGGGATCCACTATGAAATTCTGTTTGGACTAGTTTTTCGACTTTCACCGCCCAGTACGACCGAAGTTCTTCTGTTGTGTTTTTTGAACTGTTAGTACGTTAAGTTCCTTTTGATTTAATTTTCCGTTTTTTCTACTACTGAGCTTTACTTGTTAAAATTTTAGTTTTTTCTTTTCCTCCCTTTTTATTTTTTCATTCCTTGTTTTAATATTTGTTAAATATTCTGTGTTCTATCTGTTATTTTTTGCTTTATTAAGTATACATTTCCGTTTTCCTGTTTTATCGTTTGTCGGACTGACTAGAATTTTTCTAGTAGCCGTCATATCGTCTTGTTAATTTGTTTCTTAATTTTCTTTCCGTAATTTCTGTTGATTTATTGTATTCCTTTTCTGTAAATTTCTGCTTTAATTAGTCCTTTTCTTGTTTGCGTACCCTTTGTCTGTAATTTGTAGCTGTTAATTTTCTGTTTGTATCGTTCATTGTCCATTTATACGTATTCGTTTTTTTTTACCCCGCCTCTTTTTTTTTTTTTTTTGCTTGTTTATCTGCTTGTGTAATATTTGTTTTTGGTTTGTTAATTATACATTTTCGTTTTTATTCCCTATGTTACCGTTTGTCGGACTGACTAGAAATTTCTAGTAGTCATTTTGTTAATTGTTTGTTTATTTTCGCCTTAATTTGTCCTTTCCTTGTTCGTGTATTCTTTGTCTGTAATTTGTAGTTGTTTAATTTTTTTACTTTTACTGTTCATTGGCCTTTTACACATGTTCCCTTTTTTTACTCCCCTTTTCTTTTTATATTATTCTCTTCTTTTGTTTAATTATATTTTTTTTGTTATTGCGAAAAGAAATTAATAAATATGGGTAAAAATGCAAGGAAAAATTTATTTGGAACAAAAAGAAAAATGAACTTCCTGACAAATCGTCCGGAAATTCAGATACAGATATAGAAGACCCCCAAAAATTGTTGTTTCCTTCTCAAAACGTAGTCCTGAAAAAAGTATGGTGGCCGATAATGGTGAAATCTCTCCAATAAAATCCACTTTACAAAAGGAAGGTATGGTGGCCGATAATTCTACCAAAGAAACAATGCTTCAAGAAGTTATGGTGGCCGAAAGTGGCCAAAATTCGGAAACAAAGAATGTTTCACTTGACAAATGTATGACAGCCCAAGTAGGCGAAAATTCTGAAATCAATAAAGTGTCACATGAGAAAAGTGTGGTAGACCAAGTTGGCGAAAATTCAGAAACCAATAATAGTATGGTTGAGGATAATAGCCAAAACAAACAAGACATGAATATAGTTACTATGAATAATGACGCGGCCGGAGAGACGCCCTCATGTTGGAAGTCACTGCCTAAATGCAAGATCAACATGACGTAGTTCCTGGAGAAAGCCAAGAGCTACGCACATCTGGTGACAGCAGATGGGCTCTTGCCCAATCCCGTGGAGCTAAAGACACTGTTATAAAAACCTTGAATTCGCTGGGCATCAAACCTCAGCGAGTCATAAAAGGGAAAGGATATTTGATGTGGGACGTACTGTTACCCACGCCTGCCAATTGTGAGGATGCTGCAACAAGGGACCTCATAACGAAAGACCTCATTTTACGAACGGAATACGAAGGCATGCGTAGGACCAAGGTATCAGTATTTGAGGTTCCTACTCAGATTGTCGGGGAGCATTTGGCTGCGTTTCTGTCAGTTTGGTCAGATACTCAATGCTTCCTCAGACAATCTGACCGGGGGATGGAGCTTTGAGTTGATGATCAGTCAAAAAGCCTTCTACTCCATCCCCAACTGTCTGGATTTAGAGGGCCAGAAGATGCCAATTATAGTAACAGGGCGTAAACCGGCATGCTGGAAGTGTGGAAAGATTGTGCAGGAAGAGGAAAGGTGACCAGAGATGAAGGCCTCTGATGTTCTGGCCCCCACCCAACCAAATCCCCCTTTAGTCGAGTCTGATAAATCCGTCTCGCCTGTGGTGGGCATACCTGCGACCAGGACCGGTGTGGAAAATCCCCCGGTTGGGTCTAAATCTCTGCCCCCATTCCCCGAAAAGCCTTTGTCCGCCGCAAGTGCGGTTAGGGGGAAGGAAGAGGGGGAATGGCAGGTCGTAGGTAAGGCTAAAAGGAAGACCCAGACAGCGGGACCTCGTCCTACAACAGCAAAAGACACACACAGACCCACTCCCTCTACCAGTGCAAAGGGTGACTCTCCGGTCACATCTTCAAAAAAACTACGCCAGGACATGCTCAAATATAAGCCGTCTTTCGAAAAAAAAGAAAAATTACTACAACTCAAAGAAGAGCTAAAAACTAAGGAGCACAGACCAGAAAAAAAACCAGGATGGCCTCTCCTTCAAATCCCAAAGTACAAACAAATACGTCCAAGAAGGCATCCAAATCTTCATCTCCCATTCCTTCCCCAAAGAAAACACCAAATAATACCCCTCTTAAAACTGAAAACCCAAAAAGGCAACGTAGCCCATCGACGGATTGTCCGGAAGAAATAGTTGAAAAGAAAATTAAATCCAAACCACTTTTCAGCACAGGGGAAGATGTGTGCCGAATCTCGAAGGATGTCGAAGAGCAGGCCAAAAAAATTAAAAATTTAAAACATCTGCTTAATTTTAAAAAACTCAACAACTTAGACGTAGAGAACCCTCAAAATTTCCCGAAGGCAAAGAGGGTCCTCACTGTTATCCAATCTAAAGCTGC